TAAATTCCTTTATTTAATGTTATAATAATGATTCTTATCCAATAGTCTAATTGATTATACAGATATCTGTCATATAACACAGAAGTTACGATCTGAAAAATTGCCATGTTATGCAAATCCATGTTAAACAAAACAAAGAACTAATGCAAAACATAGGATTAGATTTCAAAAATATACTATTCTTTTTTGTTACTAAGAGAAATATGTTGATTAAGGCAATCAATAATTAACTAAAAATTACAATTAAAAGTACTGCATTACAGGTTAACCAACATATACAAACCACCTAATGATTTCAGTTATCCATTTACCAAGTTTGGATATAAAATGAGATCATGGCCCAAAAAATTGGATTCAAGTGGAATGGCTGGCATATTCAGAAAAAGGATGCTTTATTTTGCATTTTTTGTATTTTAGTGCATCAAATGTGAAACATGGAAATTTTGTTAGTGGATTTAATGACTAGAAGCATTATAAAAGAGAATGTGATCACCATATGGAATCAGAAACTTGTATAGCAGCTTATAAATCTGTGTATCAGTTTTTGTCATTAATATGTGAAATGTTGTAAGTTACATCAGTGATGCATACAAGCAGAAAATAGATAAAAATAACGAAATTCAAAAAAAGTGTTATAGCTGTTATAGAATAGCTGGAAAAGAAAGGAATTGTTTTTCATAGGAATGAAAAAGAAGGAAATTTTGAAACTCTCATAAATTTCATGCTGAAACAGATGTAGTGTTGAAGTAGCATTTGGAAGTGTCAGCAAAAAATGCTAAGTATTTTATCCCATAGGGTTCAAAGTGAATTAATTCAGGAATAGGGAAATTATATTTTTAAAAAAATTATTGAAGATTATAAAACTGCAAAATATTTTGCAGTATTAGCTGATAGTTCAATGGATGTTAGTATAAAAGAACAATTTTTAATTTGTGTAAGATTTATAAATTTCAAGAATATCACTGTAATTGTATGAAAAGAATTTATTGTATTTGTTAAAGTGTCAAGATCCACTGGCTGAAGCATGACCAAAACAATAACATCACTTCTCAAGAAAGTTGGTTTGAATTGTGTTAACATTTGAGGGCAAGGGTACAATAGCACAGTCAATATGAGTGGATATTTCAAAGGTGTGCAAACATGTAAAAGAAGTATCCAAAAGCATTATATGTTCATTGCTGGTACATTCCCTTAACCTATGCATCTTGGATGGCTGCAAGAAACCCTCTATTAGAAATATATTTGGAGTGGTACAAGAAGTTGTCAAGTTCATTGGCAATTCTGCTAAACATAAGTTAGCATTTTCTTAAATGACAAAATGACAGCAGTAGCAACAGCAGCAAAACAGATGACAATGACAATGAACATGAAACAGATAAAGGAAATGGGGGCTGCAAGAAATTATTAACGCTGTGTGAAACACATTGTTTGTCAAGAGCTAAAAGCTTATTTTGACTTTTAGAATTATTTTCGGCTATTCAAATGTGTCTAGAACAAATGACTAGGTTGAGAACATCTAAAGATAGAAAAGCATTTGTTCACCTGAAATCAGTACAATCATTTGAATTTATTCTTGCATTGTGTGTCACAGAGAGTATTCCTGGGCATTTAGAAAATTTATCAAAGCAGTTACAAGTGTCTTGCAACATAATTAACCCTTTAGGGATCATGTTTCATCATAGACTAAGGACTACCTGACTGCACTACATGTAGCCAAAAAGTTCCTAGTCATCTTCTTCCTAGACATGTGCTGTCAATAACAACTGATACTGTATATCTGAAAGAAGAAAATGGTGGTGATCAGAGGTGCCTATATATTGGGGTACTTTGGGGCATGTGCTCCCTTTTTGTCTCACTTGCCCTTTTTTCCAATCCAAAAGGGCCCCAAACAACAGAAAATTTGTGATTTCTAGCCTATTCTACAAATATAAAAGAAACTAATAAACAATATTTGTCCAATGACCCAAGCAACTTCAGCAATGTTGACCAAAACCCTATTCCTTGTTTTAAAGACCAAGTTAGCCCCAAGTGCAACCAGTGACAACTTATTGGAATGCTGATTCTATGTTGAATCATAGAGTTTGAAACTCCTTGTATAATGTATGATGCCTTTTTTTTATAGTTTGTGCCCCGCCCCCTTTTTCATAGTCTGTGGGCACCACTAGTAATGATCTGCCACATCCTTCATTATTACAATATGAAATTGAGGACTGGAAAAACTGTGCATTACACAGTTTGGCAAAATAGAAGTACAGATGTTATCAATGACACTAGATAAAGTTATACTGAACACTGATTTGCAAAGATTTCCTAACATCAGAAAGAATATTTCAAATTCTATTGACAATATCAATGTCCATTGCCACACCATAAAGAACCTTCAGTTCCTTGCAGAAGTTGAAAAACTGGCTACGCAGTATTATGGATAAAGACAAATTGTCAGGATAAGCACTCTTGAACATTCACAGAAAAGAAAATAATATAGATTAAATTATAAATTGTTGGAATGCATACAGAAGACAGATTAGCATTTGTATAAAAGAGTTAAAATGTAAAAAAATGTTACTTTGAACCAACTTTTAATGAAAATAGTATTTATTTTGTAATTAAATAAAGGTAATAAATCCTACATGTTTGAAGCTTTTTGTATAATTTACTTACAATGCCTTTTTTTATAGCTTGAGCCCCTCCCTTTTTATAGTCTGCAGGCACTACTGTACACTGCACAGCAGATCCAGCATGTTTAAAACATTTGGAGTTGCTAGAAATTTAAAAAGCCTTGAAAAATTGGATTACTGTCAACTTTAGTGAATCATACAGTCTATCAAAGGCATGAAAAGCCTGTTTCAAACTATAGTAAATTAAGATTCGCTTTTTCTGTTCCTGACAAAGGCCATTCAAACTGGACAAAAACATTAGAAAATTGAATAAAAATGCTGCATTTTAAAGGTTTTTATGTTGAGGTTTGAGTACTTAGTGTAATTTAAAATTCAAATCATCAATTGAATCTTTTCACTCAGAAAATCATCTAATCTAAATATTATCCTGACTATTGTTTCTTCTACATTTTAACTTTAATTTTTAATTTAAAATTTTCAATAAAAAGTTATTCTCCAACTTTGATTTCATTTCATGATATTTCTCTATTATAAGCAAAGTCTTATGGTGGCTTTAATCCTTGGAGATTGCACTTAATTTCACAGATACAGTACATTCAAAATAATTTTTTAAAAATTTTTGTTCTGAAATGACAAAGAATTTGGAAACTTTGGTTACTCTTAAGAACTGGCAACATTGATTAGCTAGCATTGCTTTGTCAGTTCTTTTTTGTTAAGCAAAACTGCACATTTTTCTTCAGACTACCTTAATTTGTATCAGCGAGATACTGTGATCTATTAGTATATTGTCACTTTTTAATTGTTTTTTGGTTTTCTTTCTAAAATTAAAACTATCACATATTGAATTGACAATGAGAAGAATGTTGAAGAATTATAGCAGATTTTACTTGAGTTAGATGATAACAATTAAAAAATAATTTTTGTAAATGATCTTATAAAAAGATAAATTTATGCTTCTAAACAATTTTAATATTTTCTCTAATTTCAAAACTTTTCAGACTCTTAATTAATCTTCACAGCAGCATTTAAAAAATAAAACAGTGAAAAATATATATAAAAAATATTAAACTGTAGGAATCATAGCATTGCTTATAAAATTAAAAATTAAATTAATTAAAATATAAGATTATATAAATATTATATGTAATGTAGGTATTAATGTTTAAAATAATAATAATAAATAAATATCCTAGAAAAAATTGACCTTGAAAGAATCTGTAGTCTGTAACTATTCAAGGACTTAGTCCTGGAGAATATTTCATCCTTGAACAATACACTATAAGTAAATGATTATANGCCAAAACTACACATCGCACGTGAATGGTGTTTGTATGTGGTAGTAGCCCCAAGTCTCTATTCGTGCATAGGGGTGGTTGCGTCTCGATAGCTATAAGGGTGCGGGAGATATGGGCTTGAAAGTGGTTGAAAGTGGCTTTTTATTTCAAATGTTTTGTTCGAATTTAATTCGAACAAATTCGAACATAAAATTCAAATATTGGTTCGATTATAGAACAATCGTAAACATTCCAGAAACGTTGAAAATAGTTCGTTTGACCGGACGTGAACAGGAGACGTTCAGAAATAGAATCAGGACCAGGTCTCTAATTAGTCTGGAAACGGGGGACCTAATTCTTGCATTCTGTGAAAACGGGTAAGATTGGCTATAATGTAATTATCTTAATCTTCACTATCGTTACTTTTTGCCCACAAATAAAAACCCAGCGAAGCAGGTCCTTGCAGCTAGTTTAATAAATAAAATCATGAAAGTATATTTAGATATATAAACTTACCATTGAAGAATATGTATACAGCTGTTGCATTTTTTCCATGTATTGAATTACTACTTTTATAATAACAAATATAAAGACCTGTTCTCTCAGGCGAATGTTGAATTGAAAGTTTAGTAGCTTCTGAATATGAAGGTCTTCCATATGTAATTTTAATGTTATTTTCTTTTATATCAGGTTCCTAAATAATAGAACTAAAATTAATATGATCTTTATTTACAGAATTGTCTATTTTATAATTATTTAAAAATTCTATCACAGAAGAAAAACTTTAAAAATTTTTTCATAATTTGTCATTTTCACACACTTTAAGAACAACTTTAGATGATGATACAATTTGTCCTGGATGTTTTACCAATCAATATATTTTTACATTATATTACTCCAGTGAGATGATTTCAACAAGTTTCATATAGTGAGGCAGAGAAGTGCCAAAAAAATAAAGCTAGAAACTCTACCTATTTGACTTTGTTCTGTTCCTAAGTGGGTGTGAAAAGGACAAAATATAAATCAGTTGCTTAATTTTTTAGTGTTTCTTCTATTCTAGATAACTTTTTAATTGAATATTTGTCCTGGATTCTTAATGATATTATACAGTTCTAGACAAAAATATACCATAAGTTCAAGTAATATTTTTAGACTATAAATTAATAAATTGTTTAAATGAAATGGTAACATGCAAAAATAATCAATTATATCCATCATTTTAATATGTTAAATAATTTTACACTCACAGATTATTTAAAAACAAAATATTAAAAAAAAAAAACAGCATTTTACAGAGAGAAAATTATAAGTTCAAAAATGAATAAACATTTAAATTTAAGGATTTAATACTTTATGTAATTTCTTTGGTGACAAATAACATCATACATGCAATATGGAATTGAATTTGCATTTTTGAATGTCTTGTTTCAGGTCTGCAACTATTGAAAATTGTCTCCCATTTTTGTAAATGGACCTAACAAAAAGCTCCCACAGATTATCTATAAAATTCAGATCTGGGAAGTATACAAGCCATAAGAAAACTTAAACATTATTTCTAAAAAACCATTGTTTCATCATTTTTTTAATTGTAGCAGGATACATTATCATACTGAAAGATTAAATTTTCATCTCCAAGAGTGTGACCACACTTACTAAGTTGATCTTCCAACAGAATGCAAAGGATTTACAGGTCAGACATCCAGGAACAAAGATGATTTGATTTGAAGATATAAATAAACAAAGATGTCTTTCATTGAGCTGAAAATGCAGCCAAAACTATCATGGAGCCACCACTCATTTGTCGACTCATTTGCAAATCATCTTCAACTCTTTAGTCATGTCAACACTTTTGCCAACCATCAGGCCCATCAAGGTTAAACTTTATCCAGATCCAGCTCATGGTCTTCCTTGCCATATTAAAACAAGTATTTTTATGTTTCTTTGTTAATGTTGGTAATTAGATTGCAAAACTCAACAAATAGTCCAAGTTGAACAGGAAAGAAGAGCAACACTTTTGAGTTTATTTGCTGATAACTTAGATCAAGTTGTAAATAAGCAAATCTGTCTTCTGTTATGAGATAAACAACTTTTTCTCCCAGGACGCCTTTTTAGTGGCTCCATCAATCCACATTTTATAACATTAGGTACAAAACATTGAGAATGGCTAATTACAGTAGCAATTTCTTTGGGTTACTCCACTTTTATGAAGTCTCCAAATCCATTTAATTTCAGGTTCTGTGCATGTTTCTTGTTCTCTCAATAATTATTACAAGTAGTTAGGGGACACTCTGGAAAATTTTAAAATATTGCCAACCATTTTGCCAGTTTAAAATTTTTTCACCACTTCAAATTAATTATCACCACCAGTTTTACTTACTAATTAATGCAGGTGCTAGTAGCCTTATCAGTTTGGCATCTGGAAAGCAAAAGTAACATGTTAACCTGTTGCATACAATTCAGTCAGAAAAAACTGTATATTGCAGTTTTTTCTGATTGAATTGTAACTGCAAAATGTAATTAATAATTGTTCCAGATTATTATTTACTTGTTTAACTTCTTGTGACAGGATTGTATTCATCAGTTCAAGATGATTAATATTATTTCTAAGATTCATATTTTAAAATTTTACTACACTAGGTCACAAAAGTATCTGGATACCTATAAAATCGAAGAGTTTTTTCTAGTTATAACTCACTTCTCACATGAAATAGAAAAAAATAATGCCATATGAAATCTTCAGGCTTTTTTATACTAGAAAAAATATTTACATGTGCAAAAATTATAGATAAAAATAGAAATACATATTTATTTCAAACTGTGAAAATTTTCACTTCACAAAAGTATTCAGACAGAAAAATAAATAATTTATTTTTCTGTCTTTTATTATTAAAATATTTTATACATTTAAGAACAAGTTGGGCCTCTTTTTGCCCTGATAACAACTAAGTATTGATTCATTTAAATTTTTATAACAGTTTTGTCTATTAAATTCAAAACTCTGTTGATGATGTCTTCAAGATCAGTTTTGTTTGTTATTGATTCTGTTCTGATTGTTCATTCAATGTGATCTTGTAAATGCTCAATTGGGTTGAGGTTGGGTGATTGTGGAAACCAAGGAAGCATTTTTACAGTGCACATCAAGAAATAGACTGATTTTCGAAGTATGCTTTGGATCATTGTCATGCTAGAAAACAATTGTCATGCCTTGATATCTTAATCTTACCCTGACTTTAATTTTCCTATTGATTTCTGAACATTGTTATTTAAAATCTATTTATACACATATTGATTCATTATTCCATCAACAATTTTCAGAATTCCAGCACTATTTGCAGACATAAAACTACAAATAGCACCAAACAATTCCCACATTTCATTGTAGGGATCAGACTTTTCATTTTTAAAGATGCTCCAGCTTTTCTCTGTACTTTCAGGTAATCATTTGAACCAAGCACATTGAATTTAGATCATATGACCTCAAAAATGATTTCCAAAATGTTATTGATTTTGTATAAAACTCTTTTGCAAACTTTAACCTATACTGCTGGTTTTTTCATAGGCATAAAATCTTTATAGTACTTGCTTTTAAAGTTTTTCTGACAGTTACTACAGATATATGTACTCCACATTCTACAAAAGCCTCAACAGCAAGCTTAGAAGCAATTATTTGTGGATTTTTTTTCTTCACTTTCCTGTCAATGACATGTTTCTCTCTCGAGGTAAATATTTCAGGACATCTAGTTCAAGTCTTATTAATTACATTATTTGTCATAAGGAATTTCATAATGGTAGACTTTGGAATGTAAAACTGTTCTGCAAGGTTTTGCACAGATTTCCCCTTTTGCTATTCTTTAATAATGAGTCAATAATAACAATGGTTAATTTGTTTGATTTTATTGTTTACGATGACAAAATAAAATAACTCAAATACAAGTACAAAATCAAATACTTTAACTCATTTGTTGAGACAAATTATTTGTTTGCTTTATAAAACTCCAGTTTACTTTATGTTTTTGATATGTGAGCAGAAGAATACGTCAATATGAAATCAAACATTCCTTAATTAGTAAACATTTTGTCAGGGTAAATGCAATAACTACCATGTGCAAATATTGTCATTTCTGGTTGTTGGTGTTTGTATGTAGATTATCCTAATATTCTTCGGTAATATCTGTTATGTTTTCTGTAAATTTACTCTGCTAAGTTTTCTCAAAATTGGAACATGTTACGTGCCACGTACCTTACCATAAGAAAACAGTGTTTGCTTGTTCCTGTAAAATTCACTCTTTGCTGTATAACAGGTATTGCATTTACACTGAACATTTGTTGTTTACCAGAATTCAGCAGTTTAATCTACACAAACATTTTAAATTTAATTTTAAAATGATAAAACTGATTCTTTTAAATCTGTTCCTTAGTTTAACGTATGGTACATTTATTTCAAAGGCAATGCTATGGTCATCAAAAAGGAAATATTTATTAATCATCAAATAAATTCAATATTTCTAATTAGCTTATTATTTTTTAGTATTTACTGAAATACTTTCTTTTAAAAGCAAAAAACAGATTATAACTTACAAGATACTTTGGAATATCCCAATAGGTATCATATTCTCCTCTACATTCAAGTATTAGAAGTGTATTTGGAGGTACATTTATATAAGGTTTTGCAACATTTAAACGAGGTGGAAGATAAGTTAAACATTTATCTGAAAAATTGCAATGAAAAATATAATTAACTTCTATAAAGAAACTTTATTTTATTCAACAAACTAAAAATTAAGAATAAAAATAGTAAAAGCCTACAATTGTCAATGAACAATTGTCTAATCTATTTCACAGTTATCACATTTACTTAACACTTAAGATTTTATGTCAAAATTATTTAGCATATATCCTAAATGGTGTTTCTTTTTTCCAAGAAAAAATCCTTTCTTCTTGCTTGAATTTTTTTAAATAAAATATTTTATTTTCTCAACAAAAAAGAAAATCTCAAAAAATATTGTGAGAACCCAGACTTCAAATTAAACTTAAACTAAATAATAAAACAAAATACTATCACTTTTAACAATACAACTTTGTAGGCAGCGATATCTATCAACTTTCACACCTGGAGCATCTCTTCCTACATGTTCTCAGCGTGGAAAGAAACACTTTCCTGATTTTACAGATTTAATATGACAACTAAAGGCCAGCCAAGTCAGTTCCTCAACCGAGCCAGTCGTTTCCTGTGTCTCCGTTACTCTATTTTCTGATACATCGTTTTTACACTTTACCACAGGGAGATATAGCCTAGAAGCTTATTCCCAACTAGCTGATACAAGACAAAATCTTAAATAATTCGGGTGAATTTCTAAGTTACACAGATAAATAATGCTTGATTTATTTATCTTTGTTTATGTCACATTACATTTACACATAGAAACAATTTTATGCAGAAAATTATTTCCGATTCCCCTTTACAATGATACTGGATATCCAATCAACATGGGCACTCACAAAACTTTTCCAAGGGACAAAGCTTGGAGGCCGAGCACACTCGGGATTTTATCTTGGGGGAGCCGAGTTGAACGGATACAAAATTTTAATGCGATTTCAATAAAATTTATTGGTGGATTACAAAAAAATTCATTGGTGGATTATAAAAAATTCATTTAAAGAATGAAATCCAATTTTATTTTCTTTTTAGAAAGCTCTTGAATTATTTCAGTCATTAGTTACATTAATCTCTCTGTGTACCGGTACATATAGCAAAGTCATTTCGTTTAAGCCGAATGGCCGAATGGTCAAGATGGCAGCCTACTGCTCTGGGGAGCCAGGTTCGAATCCGAACGGGTCAAAAAATCCTCAAAAATTTTTCGGGGGTGGTCCAGTCCGGGCCCCGTCCCTCGCCACCCGGCCGCCCCATTGTGGATCTAGCCAAACCCATAATGGGCTTGCTAATAGAGGCCCTCTTAGTGCCATACAGAGCGGAAAGAGTTTAAAAAAAAAACATTCCGTTCTATCGTGATTGTGTCACAATAGATTTTAAGTTAAATAGCCAATGAAACAATTCTAAGTGATTTATTTTAATAAGATCATGAATTCGTTCTTAATTTTAAAAGTTTGCAAAATTTTTTATTACAATAAAATAAATTTTTTTCGGAAAATTATATAATTATATATTAAATGAACAGGATTAAGAAATATGTAAAATTAAAAGCAAAGTTTATTCGCATCTTTTGCTTTTTTATGTAATGAGATAAATTAAATAATCATAAATGTGCAATTATATAGACTCGTGATGCTGTCACACCCCAGTTCTTGATTGATATCTTTGACTGTTCGTTCTGCTCAATGTTACTTCCGTTAATAGTTTCCTGATATTGTAAATTTCCACTTGAATGATGTCCTATCTATAACACACTTTCAACAGATCATAGGCTATATTGTAACTCAGAACGATTTTTTAAGAAGAGGCTAGGGCGCTAAGCTATATGACCAGATTCCAGACCTCTCCCCGTTGTAAGTGGTCCATGATAAGTAGACACTGACTCAACTAGGCTAATTTGTGGACGTTCCTATATCCTGTATTGATACTTTTGATCATTCGCCGCTCTGCACGATTATAATTTACTAATTAAAAGAAAGTTACTCGAATGTAAAAAAAATAACATTTATTACAGGCATAGCCAAATTTTAGGCATGTTCATATAACCATGCTCATCTTGTTACACTGTGTTATTTAAAAATCTGTAGACTGCAGTCAAAGCTTTACGGAGAAGCATACATAAAGCAGTAACCTGAAAAATAAAAAGTTAAGAATGCAACTTATACACAAATTATCATTTGTGCATAAATAAGAAATCATTACAGAATATGACTTTTCGATATTAAATTTTCCAACTTTTATTTATTTATTCTTTTATATATACTGTATATTTTCTTTTGTAATAAAACTGTAATTCGGTTCATCCGATGTTAGGGATTTCTCTAAATACAAACAAGATAGCAACTAAAAAAATCCAGCAACAAGTTACGTAACTTTTCGGCAAGCGTTAAAATTGTGGTGTCATCTGTTATGAGAGTTTATTAAACAACTTTTTATATTATTAATTATTATTAAATGAGAAAAAGTGTAATTTTGGAGTTGGGATTTAAGTTGGCGTAAGCTTTAATAAAAAAAAATTGTAAATGTTAATTAATAACGAATAAAATTTTTAAGTCCGACTCCACTCGACATATGATACACGCCCTCCTGTATCTCCCCACCCCATCAACCTTTAACTAAGAAAATTTAATAGCATCAATTCCTCTAATATACAAACTTCCTTGCAAAATTTCAGAAATTTTCAACGAAAGGAACAGGAGTTATTAAGCTTTCAAAATGGGTGAACAAAATCGTGCACCCCGCACACTAACATCCATACATATAAAAAACCGTAACATTTTTGCATTTCTCGATGTTTCAAAATTCCTAAGTCCAAAAATGTAAAAAAAAAAATCTTGGTAGATCAGTTTTTTGACCGATCGTCAAATTTCCCCCTCTGTTGTATATAACAGCAGGAAAAGTAAAAACAGGATGTGAGACATATACTACCTTTGTCTCACAAAAATTTAGCGACAAGAACGCTGTTGTTTTCTTCCTATCATTAGATTTTTAATTGATAAAAGTGAAAGACTTCGATTTATGGGCCTCCCAATCAGCAAATAATCTACAATTTTTTCAATTTTAAGTGCTATTTCATTTTCAATGACAAAGATTGTGAAAATGAATAAATGTATATGAATAAATGTATTATTTTTCTAGAGCTTTATTTACAATTTGTGCAGCGTAATGCTTAGATATCTTTTACAATTACTCTCAGTTTTTGTAAGTCTTGATTGTCATCATTGTTATTTCAGAAGCTAATAAATTGATGTAATAGCAAAATATGATTTGAAAAATAACACATTATCTCGCATTAACTCATTATACAATGCAGCAAGCTAATACTGTAGTAGTTGGCCGGATAGCCACTACGGCGTTAACTTGGCTTGACGTTCTAGGGCAAGGGTCGGCAGTTTGTCAAGTGAGAAGAGCCAAATTGCCATGGAAACAGTATAACAAAAGAACCAGAGAGCCGCATATATAACGTGCACCAGAGAGATGACCCCTAGTGCGCGTTACAGGCATTCCGTGACAATAAAAAATTCCTATTACAAATATACTGAATTATTTATATTGTTATTGGCTATTGGCCAAATAAATAATAATAATTTATACTGTTAATTAAAATGTGCAAAACACTACACACGACAGGGGCGCCTCTAGTGGCCGATTTTGGCATAACGTTACACGGACGGACACGCGTTCGATGGGTAATGTATATATAGATATGCTTCAAATGCTGCCATTCGCATGCGACTCATATTGATCAACGCGAGTGTGGTCATGTGCGGACGGGCTAAAGAGTGATAGAGAGTATGCCGTACGAGTCGACGTTTGTTCGGCGGCTCTATCTCATAAATTCATAAGTTGTAAGGCTGCGGTGAAATGAGGTGAGGTGAAATTGGAGTTTATGTTCGAAGAGCCGCATGCGGTTCGCGAACCGCTAATTCCGACCCTTGTTCTAGGGTGTCCAAGATCAAATCCTGCGTATGATTATTCGGATCTTCGCGACTGTAACGGTTATAACAGTTGTGAAGATCACAGTCATGAATTTATCATGATTTTAAATGCGGTTGAAGCGGCGGTCATATGGAATTTTGCGTTGTATTGTGGCGAGGGACTTTTTAATTATACCCGTCGTGGTTTTGGCTAGGCTACAATGGAAGTAGCCAGGTGATAGGAACATATACGGAACACTGTCGGAAAGTGGTTGCTATTTAGATGTTATAAACTTGAAGAAAACTCAGGAAACCACACACGACCAGTGTTCAGTAACTTTATCCACTCGACCATAAAACCAATTTAGAATAACGTCAGCACAACTGCTGACGTTATTGAAATAACAAGTTTGATTTCATATTTCCTGTATTTTATTACCCAATTTCCTAGACATTTTGATGAAGAGACTTTACATTTTAAATTTATTTAATCAGAAAATAATAAATAAATAGAAACGCCAAAATGTTTCATTCACAGTTCGCAAAGGATGGCCACAAGTTGCATCGATATGTGGAGGATCATGGCTCTGGCTGGGGTTAGGATGTCTCGGGTATCTGTATCTTTTCATCTAATATGATATCTTCCGGTCTATTACATTTATTTCTTTTCTCATTATGCACTTGAAAATACATAAATTAATTATTTAAACTTTATAATTTAAATTTTATTATACAGATTTTGTCCCGGGCCTCTGCACAGATCCAGTTCCAGGACTTCTCCTCCTACTTGTCAGCCCTGCCAAAACGACGCATATTTTTATACATTAGTAATTTCGATCTATACTAAAACTGTGAATGAATTATTTTGGAGTTTTTTCTGTTTTTTATTGATTAAACAATTTTAGAAGGTCTTACCATTAAAATGTATAGGTGATTGCGCAATAAAATACAGGAAAACAAAATCATATTTGTTGAACGATTGCCAAAAATTATAGCAATGGGAAAACCAATTTACTTGAGAAACTTGTTTTCGTTTTTATTTTCAAGGGTTGACTTATTTATTTTCAAACGTAACGTAATTATATCTAAATTAAGTCAATAAATACCACTTAATAAAAACATTTGCTAAATAATTTTGTGTTAGTAAATATTTTACTTACCGAATTAGTAAATTATCCTGCATTATGTATTGTGAACTTCATAATACATTAGTATACTACTGTATTTATAAAAAGGGATAATTATGTAATTTATTGTATAAGTACTATGAATCTATGAAAACATGGCTTAGAAATTTGATGTGAGTTTCTTATCATAAGTAAATATTAATTTTGTTTAAATTAGAGTTAAAACATACGAAACATCTTGTAAGAGTTGAATAAAAATACAGAATATATGAAATTAAAAATCAGAGTCGAAATTATTTAAGAAAATTATAGGAGAGTTATAGCGAATTATAGTAAATTTCATAGGTTGTTAATTGCTTTTTATTTTATAGATATCTTATAATTTTGATGATTTAAATAGCTTTGTTTACATTGCTATTCGTTTATAGCTTACAAGCTGTCTATGATACAATTGAATTGTAATTAATCTAGATCCGTTTAAGATTTTGCATTATCTTAAATGCATTGAGAAAAAATACTTTATCAACAATGTTAAGAGAAAGTAAAATAAAAATAGTGTAAAATTTAGTTCGTTTTATGGATCTTGACCTGGCGATAGACGATACTGAAAAAAATCTAGCAATGAGTTGCATAACTTTCTCGCCTGTTATGAGATATTATTTAAAAAATAACTTTCATATTATATTAATCATAATAAATAAAATTGTGTGTGGCGCCATCTGTTATAAGATTTTGTTACAAAATTTTTTAAATATTTTTAATTACTATAAAAAACGAATAAAATCTTTATAGTCCTATCCTTTCGAGATACATGACCCCCTCTATCTCTCCACTCTCTCAACCTTTTAGTACCAAAATTTAATAGTATCAATACTCCTCATATACAAGCCAACGTGCTAAATTTCGTTTCTTAATCTTTACCCCATCCTGAGATATTAGAGAGGTTGAGGCGCACGTTTTAAACGTGTAAACGTGTACGTGTGACGTTCGGCGCCGCTTTCCCGTAAGCCTAAAAGTTTGACGATGGTGTTTGGAATGTCGAGCGTGATTCCACCGACTATCCAAACACCATTGTCAAACTTTTAGGCTTACGGGAAAGCGGCGCCGAACGTCACACGTACACGTTTACACGTTTAAAACGTGCGC